GGTCAAAGGTCACTCGGGGTCAAAGGTTACTCACTGCAGGCTCCCAGCCCCACTGCGCTCCAGGCCGAGGTCGGCGCGGCCGATGGGGCTGGGCCACAGCTTAGCCCCGCCCGCCTCGGCCGCACCCCTTTGTTGTACCACCCGCTGTGGCCGCACCCCTTTGCGACCCTTCCCTCCGTGGCCACGCCCCTTTGATCACACCCCCTCCTTTTTTGGCCTTACCTGCCGTGTCCACGCCCCCTGTGACCCTGCCCCATCCTGGGACACACCCACTCCTTTAGCCACTCCCTCCCTATTAGCCCCACCCCTTCTCACATTGTAACCCCACCCCTAAAGCCATGCCCCTCCCGTGAAGCCCCACCCACCGTGGCCACGCCCACTCCCCATTCAAATCAACACGGAGAAAACCCCGCCCATTTTTTGGGAGGGGTGCAGATTTTTGTCCACCCCCCCGAGCAAGACCACGCCCACCCCGGGCAGGCCACGCCCCCCGGCCACGCCTCCACCTGGTGTACATGCTCCAGAGCATTTAAAATAAAATTTAAAATAAAAACCCTGCCTCTGACAAAATTAAAAACAAAAACTGCATTTTACTCCACATCTTGTCCCACTTTCAGTCTCAAGGCTGTCCTGCCCTGATGAGTTTCACAGAGGAATTGGTACATGTTAAGAGAGGAACTGTACAGTTCACACTTCCCAAAACCATAACTGACAACAGATGCATTATGGTATTTCCATAAGAATATAAATATATAATGAGGATTTCCCTGAGAGGCCAAATTTTCATTTATTTAGGAAACAAGTAAGTTGAAATATGATGGAATCTCTCCATACAACAGATGCTTCAAAAGCTGACAGTACAGATTTTTCACAAGTGCCACATTCCGAGCAAATTAATTTTGGTTTTGAAAGCCAATTTTGAGACAACCCTCCCAAACACAAGGTACTGGCTGAGGAAACAGTGGAACAGAAAATGAGACTCTAGGCATTGTGCGACATCAGAAAGCATATTTCTTTTTATTTGCCTTTCTTCAAGAACTCTAAGTCACCATTAGGCAAAGGAGTGCATACAAGGATGACAAGAAAAAGATTAAAAGAGACTTCTTTATTATTGTATTCTGTGGCATGAAAGCCAAAAGCCGTTTTATTTGTTTGTTTGTTTTTAAAGGATAGGTTTCTATTCTGGCTGAGGTGTTACAGTTTAGAGAACAACCTACCATCTGCAGGAAACCTCTTCAGAAAATTAGAAGTGAGCACAGCTATTTGCTGAGCTGTTTTCCTGAACGAACACTGCCAGCTGCACTAATAGTATTTTACCAGACACTTGTGAGTTTGTGAACCCCTAAGTTTAAAAAGAAATAGGAAATCCATCTGCAGGGTGACAAGGATGGGGAAAAGCAGTTGGAGTTGCTTCCCCCTCAGCAGATTCCCACCTGCTATAAACAAACTGTGTTTGCCCAGTACAGCCTGACTTGGCAAATGTGCCTTAAATCTGCCCAGGCACAGACAGCTTGCCCCATAGTCTGACACACCGTCTTAGTAGCTTTCATATATAATATTAAACCCCATAGTTTGTCTCCTAATATCCTTCACACAATGCTCTGTCTGTTCACATCCATGTTGTATGCTGATGAATTGGAACAGCCTCGGCCAAAATCAATGAAAATGCCTTCAGAATCAGAGTCGATGGACTCCAAAATCTGATCCACTATGTTCTCGGGGCTGGAAGAGGGAACTGGAAGTAAGGAAGTGTCTCTGTCTAGCTCAAAAGACCTGTGTGGGTCACCAATTGTATGGAAGAGTCCTTTCTGCTGCTCAGCTGTGCTGAGTTTGCTGGAGCACTGCACTGACCCAGTGCTGGGCCTCTCCTGGTCTCCTGGCAGTGAGCTTTTCATGGTTGTCACGGAGCTCTTGGAACCGTTGTCCATGATGGTGGTGAGGTTGGAGTAGCCCTGGAGCTCCAAGCAGGAGGTCATTTCTGAGACTGAGTGCCTTCGGATGCCGGTTCCGTTGGCAGCTATGCCCTCCGTTTCATACTCGGCCACTGGCGTCAGCAGCGGATTGTTGTAGCTCTTTGATCGCACCACGGGGTTCTTGGCAAGGATGTCCCCTGACTTGGAACGCCTGAAGAACCGCTTCTCTGCAAACAAAGACACAGAATCATATCTGCAAATTCTCCCATTAAGGTACTAATAATTATGAGTGTTTAAAAGAAATGCAAATTATTCTGATTATTCATAAGCTTTTCTGGAATGAAACTTTTCTAGAAGAAGACATTTTGCTGATTTTGTAGATTCACAGGCTTCAGATTTCCTAGATTTCTGTAGCATATTGAAGACCCCAAATCTATCTTTACAAATAATAACTGAGATTCCCTTATATTCACACAACTTCAGCGGCTGAAAAAAACAGTAAATACAATGAGAGAGGTGATACACAGTTGTAAATACTTCCTTTAACAAGAACAGAAAGTACAATTCTGTTCTTTTTCAGGCTATAAACATTTTTACTCATTTTTAGTAGCTGAAATTTAACTTTTTCACCCATCCTGGGAAAATAAAGTCTCTTCAAATTTGGAGCATGAGGATCAAGACAGGCAGTTTTTCTGCTAATTCTGGAAAAACCTTCAAAGTTCAGAGACCACATGGGGGAGACCACCGAGAGTGACTGAAAATGTTAACTAGAGGTCAGTGCCCACAGAAACCTCTTTTTGGGGGAGCAAATCTGCCTTAAATCCAGCAGTGATTGCCTGAATGCTGTTAACCAAGTGGGGTTTCCACAAAAAAAAAAAAAAAAAAAAAAAAGGCAGCAGATGGCAGCAAGTGAGCACTGAGCTCCCTCTCTGGCAGTAGTTTAGCGCTGGAATGTCCTGGCAGTGCCAATAAAATTACCATCATGGGCAAACGACCACCACTCAAACTCTGTGCAGGTCTCAGTGCTCAGATTCACTCCTGCTATCGGAAGAAAAAGTGGTGTGAATAATAGGTCTCACTTTTGAATTTTTCTTTCTGCTGCTCTCACTATGCCATCCCATGAAGGAGGCACAATTGGAGCAGGGTATCAAATCACCCCCTGGAAGTCACGACAGCCACTGCAAATAAACTGTCTGCTTTAAATCAGGACGCTGGTATATGTTCTCTCAAACATATTCCAATCTCTTAAAATTATGCTATTGTGCAATTATGTGCTTACCTAGACACAAATTCCGATCATATGCTGTACTACTAAAAAAGCCAATTTCTGTATTTAAGACTGTATTTTGCAGCTGTGTCTGCCTCAGCAGTGAAACCATCTGATCCAAGTTCATTTTTGGACTTTTTCATTGTTAGGCATTTGAGCTGGTAATCAGAAAAGGTTCCTGGGGCTATGAACTCTGGAAACAACATGACACATGCTAGCAAAATAGTTGAAGAGAATTAGATGCATTAGTTTAAAAGAAGCAGCCACTTACACACTAAGCTCCCTTGCATCCAGGTTCAGTGATTACAGTGAGACCCACTTCAGGAGTGTTGCTACATCTACAGCGCAGACTGCAGCAAGAAGAAGTGCCCAAAAAAACCTTCTTATCTTCTGCAGCCATGTAATCAGACATTTATTAGCTAACAATTAGTTTCACTGATGCTACATTCTCTTTGGCTGCATTTTTTCTATCTTGACATACAAAAGCTTGTATTTAGAAAATGTCAGTTGGAGGCTCCATTTAAATGCTTGTGGCCTTTTAATGGCAAGCAGTGAATACAAAGTGAATACAATCCTGAACCATTTTCAGGACATAACCAGACTCTATTTAGTCACGTAAAACTCATTTGTTTCTTGAACACTTGCTGCAACACAACCATTTTGCCATTCAGCAAAGGGAAAATCAACTACTTTACTGACCATTTCTGACAAACAGACTGAATTGACTGCAGAGAAAACATGCAATTGAACTTATCTCCCTTCTGTCTGCTCTATTTAATCACACCATCCCGTATTTACAGTAAAATACTCAGATACTACCACGTTTCTTTTTTCATTTACACTGGTAGTATCTTCCTTGTATTTTCAACAGATTGCATTGCTGTGTAGGATATTCCACCTTCATCCTGGCTGTATCTTGCCATCACAAAAGTCACCAAAGGCTTCAGAGCTCCAAGAATCAGAAATTAAGCTGTAGGGAACTCAAGGTGCCACCAGGATAGGCCACATTTCCCCCCTTGCTCCTTATGAATGATGATGTTTGTGACAGGTAAAAAGTGTCTCAGCAGGGAAGATTCAATAATCTCCAGAGGCAATGCATGTGAAATCAAGAGATTTTTCCTTCCATGTAATATGAATTCCCACTGCTATGTAAGACCCACTCTGTATTTCTTATCTCCATTGGGATGGAAAAGAGCTTATTACCTTCTACTCTTCAGAAAGCTTTTACATGCTAGAAGGCTTATGTGTTAGCCTTCTCGAAGACAAATTCCTACTCTCTTCCCTAATCTTAAGAGCCTTGCACGATCTTTGTGTACTAATGAACACTAATGAAAATTAACTACTGAGTACTTCAGAAGTGGCTTCTTGCTTCTTCCTCTCACTGTCCATAAAGCATCCTGTGTCAAAGCTCTCTTGTTAAAAGGTAGAATGGAAATGCTAAACACACTCTAGATTCATTTTACTGATTTTTTATTACTGAGCACTTTTATGATGATCTGTTTTCATCTTTTGCCACTCAAGTTTCACTGTGACTCTGCACCATGCATGGTCTTAAAAAAAGAAGCCTGATGTATTCATGTAAGCACTGGCAGCCACCTCTTGTGCAGGCCCTGCATGGAGCAAGGTTTTGGGAAGTTCTCTGTGCTGTGCCAAATGGAGTCTGTGTTGTTCTTACCCAAGATACAGGCAGAGTGCGTGAAGGGTCCATCACTGGAATACAGACCATACGTGCCCAAGTAAGGAGAAACAACTTTCTGAATCAGGGATTCCAGTTTCAAATAATCTTCAGACACACCTTTCGACTCATGAACCCCCTGAAAAAGAGGAAATACCCAAGATGAGCACTGCCCCCTTCAATCACAAGCTCTCCTGGCTCACCAGGGCAACCAGAGAAGAACAAGCATTTTCACTGAGTGAAAGCAAAGGTGACCTGCCATGTGATCGTGGTTTGCTGGTACAGCTGATTCCTCTTCTGTAAAACCAAGAGATATGAATCAGACCAGAGCTACTTTCAGGACATTTAAATCCAGGAAAGTATATCCTACTTAATGCACAGCACTCAGGGAAGGATAGAGGACATGATCTGTAAAGAGGAATTTACAACATCCCTGGACTTTTTGCTATTGCAATCTTACAGTGACTTCCTGAATGATCACATCTGGTACCACAGGGTGTCACTGCCATCGCGGCAATACCGACAGCATTAAGAAAAAGGTGAAACTGAGACCCTCAGAAATATTTCTTCCAGGATATTTTCAACAACCAATATTTACAGTAAAGAAGTTTGTTCTCTTTCCTCATCCATCCCCTGGCACCTACCATATTCTAGGCAAAAGTCACATTATAGCTAGCATGGTAAGAATCACCCACAGGCAAAATGTTTAGCCCTTAGCTGTTAACTCTGCACTTCTACCCACAAGCACACTTGTTAGGCTGCAGAAGTGACAGAGAAACCTTGCAGAGTTGTATTCTCCCTTCAGCTTACAGCTGCAGTGTGTGCTCCTGTGCGGTCTGAGCAACGCCCCGTACAGTCTTGAGTAGGATACCTCTTGCAATATATGGAGCCAATTCACATTTTCCATGTGCTCAACACAGCATGTTGCAGAATTAAGATCCTAAATGCCATACTCAGCAAGAACTCTGCCAGAATTTAGGAGATTTCATGGTGTGTTCCTGAGCTACTGTAAAAAGAAACGGATTGGCATGAAAGCCTCCAGAGAGCAATAAAGACCAGATGAATAAAGTTGCAACACTTCCTTCAGTGAAAGGATCCTGACATTCAGGATGTGTTCACAGCTCAGTATGACTCACCAACCAGACTCCAGAGTGACTCTCAGTTGTGTTTCTGAATGGCTGACTCCACCCCCTGCCTGCTGCACTGCCTCTGTGCTGCCTCGTCACTTGATAAAAGTTTATGAATGGAAAATGAATAATGGCTAACAGAGAATTCAAATTCAGACAGAATGTGAATTTGGACAGAATTTCAATTCCAGTTCAGCAGTTTTTAAATAACAAACAACAATCTTTGACGATATGCTATGTCCTGAAAAACTCTGGGACAGCCACAAATACAACTTTGAACACAAAGGCATATCTAGTGGATCCAAAACCTTGTAGACATCAAAGGAACAGTAGAATGAGCCCACAGTTATTCCACCAGGCAAAATTAACATTGGAATAGTTCAGATGATTTAATGAAGTTGCACATATTATTTCCAATTCATTACTGGCCTACTGAGTTCTGTTCCAGGGTTTCTAAATCTGCTGGAATTTAGTCAAGCCCTCAGAAAGGCAACATGCCTGCTACCTTACTACGTATTAACAAACGCATCATGAGCACATCAAGCAAAGGCCACGTCTTAGGACGTCTTGCATCAGGCTCCCACACTAAATACCTCTGGAACTGGTCTCCTAAACATGAAATATATGAGTGGCAGAAGCCAGTGATATTTAGCAATGCTCATGCCCAGGCTTTGCTGTACAGCTTTATTTACTTTTCTACAATTTTAGTATTTTTTGTACTTGTGAAAGACAAGTAGCTAAATATCACCTGTGGGTAAAGAACCCTGTCGCATTGCATGGTGGGGAACTGTGAGGAGTTCTTTTAAAAATGGATGGTCTAGAAAGAAATTAAGTGAACCGAGACAACCTTGCATCTGAGAACTGTTTCTCGGTAACCAAAACCAAGAACAACAAAAAAAGAAGTTGCCCTACTAAAGAGGGCTAGAAAAGACAGAGAAGGAGGAAGAAAAATGGAAAAGGTTACCGAGAAGAGAGAGACCGAGAGGGAGAGGGGAGACAGAGAGGGAAAGCGGCATTACCACCAGCAGGATGGGGAGTGGCTGTCGAGGTCCAGGCAGCAGGGTATGAGCTCTGCCTGCTGGGGAGCCTGCACAGCTCCCGGAGAGGCCCCACAGGCACGGCCCCACGGGCACGGCCCCACGGGCACGGCTCCCCGGCCACGGGCGGCCGGACACACTGTGAGTGAGTGAGTGCTGGGACAAGAGCCGCAGAAGCCGGGACACGGTCACGGGGGGGACCGCGGCAGTGGCCGGATCGGGGCAGGCAGGGCTGGACACAGGTGGCTCAGGCAGGGACGCAGGGACGAAGTGGCAGGACAGTGGTCAAGGACACAGGGAGGCAGGACAGACACGAGGGCCAGCAAGTGCCAGCAGGGGCAGGAGAGCCAAAAGGCAGCCTGGAGCCAGGGAAAAAAAGGACAAAAAGAAGGCTAGGGCCAGGACAAAGCAGCAGAGCTCAGCAGGAGCCAAAGCAAAACCACAAGACTCAAAAGGCCCCCAGACTCAAAAAGCCCCAAGAAAACAAATCTGGAAAGGCCCGCAGAGCTTGTGAGGCCACTCCCCAAGTCTGCCTGCTGGCAGGAGGCCACTGGCCCAGTCCAGCCTTCCACTTCGGTCCATGGGTGGCGACCTTTGGGCACCTGATCGGTGAAGCTTCTCTGGGGAGTGCAGTGTCTCCTGCTGTCCCATGTGAGCTCTGAAATGGTTGCCAGGCAAAGTCCCCCCAGAGACAAGGCTTTCTCCCATCTTCTTCTAGGTGTCTCCTGCACGTGGCAGGAAACAGTTGTCTGCCCCACATGCCTCTGACAATCAGTGTTGAGACAAATCAAAACTAAATTGGCTCCTCACAAACCCCAGTAACTCACTAGCGCCACACTGCTCAAAAACTTACTCTTTCCACCAGCAGAACTGTATGAGTAACAGAAGTGTCTTTGCCTAGTGGCACCTTAACACTGTCTGATTTCCTATCAGCCTTCAGGTCTGAAGAGTTCTTTTGGTTTTGAATTATATGTTCTGATGAACTCATCAAAAGCCAGAGCTATATTCTGCATGGACAGCTGCTCTTGCAGGGATACAAAGAGACTTCCAGCAGTTCTGCTGGGCTGGGATAGGCTCCTGTGGTAAGCTGAGAGGATGGAGAGTCGACCCCCAAGCTACAGCCGCTGGGACACCTCTCCATCACGCGGCCAGGGGCCTGTGCAGGGCACAGACTCACCTCATCCCCACCGCTGCTGTCCTGCAGAGCCCACTGGCTCTCTGTTCCTGAATAACACTCTCTTCTCTGAAAAACCCAACTCCCTCACCATCTGCATCAGCTGCTTCTTCAGTCTTGCCCTCAACCTTCATTTCTGTTCTCTCAAAGCACTGTTAATCTCCACCTCTTTTTCATTTCAGCATCTTTCAGTTGCCACCTTTGAAGTGAAAAGGCCTCTGAATTCTACCATTACAGTGTAAAACCACTCAGTATTGACACAGCCTGCTATTAGTTTTAATCCTCAGTTCTGTATTCCAATGGATACTTCTAAAAACAGATTGAAAACTCGTAAAATATGTGGTGTTTGCTGTTGCTATAGGACACGAGTCAACACGATGCAGACACACTGTTGCTCTCAAGGCAGGAGAAAGGGAGGTTTATTTTCTGACTCCAACATTTATAGATTTCCAAAGGTGACAGTGGATTGGAGGATGAAAGTGCCACCTCTCCACGGACACTGGACAAACCAACAGTCTATCAAGTTTCTCCTCCTCCATAAAATAATGCAAAACAATAAGTTGTTTACAGAAAGTGTGTGAGAAAGTTTGATATAAGAATGCAAACATCAGAAGGTTTAGAAATTCTTAAAAAATCAGGGCGACAGTTTGCTGCAGCCAGTGCTGACTTCTGCACTGTGCCTTGGCACAAACATGCCCTATTACCTGTGACATCCTTCCTGCACTGACCGTTGTTCAAAGCTTTTCTGCAGGGGTCTGATGGAGCAACCCCCTTAAACCTTTTACTTGCTGTGGAGCTTCTGTCAGAACAAGAGCATAACAGGGTGCAGATCCCGTCCTAACCCCGCAAACCAGTGGTTTTCCTGCATTCCTTTCTGATGTGATACTCAATGACAAGCATCCTCTGGGCCTCTATGTTACCAAATACAAGTACATCCCAAAGTTTAGCAAGGACAATTTCAGCTTTCCCAATCTAAACTTTCCATATGATGTAATGACATTCTCACTTATTTATGAATCACCCCAGCCTACGTAGCCTAGAGAAGTGTCTGCAGGCTCAGAGCAAGCTTTAGGAGCCTGGAAGAAGCTTGTTTTGATTTAGATGCCAGGCCCAAGAGTGCATTTAAACTCCTGTCTCCCCACCAGTGGTTTCTAACCCATCCCCTGTGCCACATGTCCAATGACCTGTTTGTGTAACACCAAATTCAGTAGAAAAGCACTTCTAGTAGAAGCTTAGGCATGGAGGAAAGTATAATTATTATAAATGTTTCATATATCTGTATGTAAAGACAGATAAATAGATAGTTAAGTATGTATAGACATCTGTACCCCCAACTAGATCAGTATCTATAAGAAGTTCTTTTTAGATCCTTCCCCAAATTTGTAAGTGATTGGTGCTTATAAAGGCAAACAAAATGAGCCTTAGAGTTAAGCCAACTTGGATGGTTATTTGTGTCACAACAGTTTCTGAAGAAATGATGACTGGACTTAAAAGTCACCAATAAAATGATAGTGATAATAAAGTATTTTGCTGTTATTTTGGCATCTTCTGCTTCTCCTTGTACAATTCTTCTGCTCAATGCCTTACTATTTCAGTATTTCACTATGAAGCAATAAAGCAAAAGTCATAAGGCTGGCTGCTTAGCTTACAATAAGCTCTATCACAATTTGGAGTAAAAATAAAACTTGGAGCATTATCAGTAAAACAGAGATTCTACCTGTATCTTTAATGCAATATTTGCTCTGCAGACCTGCAAAAACCTTATTTAAAAGATAACTGTTGCCTTTCACGGACCCAATCT